TGGGGAACGTAGTAATTTCAAAAAAATTCCTACGTACACGCAAGATCATGGTGATGGCATAGCAACGAGAGGGGAGAGTGTTGTCCACGTACCCTCGTAGACCGTAAGCGGAAGCGTTATGACAACGCGGTTGATGTAGTCGTACGTCTTCACGATCTGACTGATCCAAGTACCGAACGTACGGCACCTCCGAGTTCAGCACACGTTCAGCTCGATGACGATCCCCGGGCTCCGATCCAGCAAAGCTTCGGGGATGAGTTCCGTCAGCACGACGGCGTGGTGACAATGATGATGCTCTACCGGCGCAGGGCTTCGCCTAAACTCCGCGACGATATGACCGAGGTGGAATATGGTGGAGGGGGGCACCGCACACGGCTAAGGAACGATCCGTAGATCAACTTGTGTGTCATGGGGTGCCCCCTACCCCCGTATATAAAGGAGCAAGGGGGAAGGCCGGCCGGCCCCTTGGGCGCGCCAAGGGAGGAGGAATCCTGCTCCTAGTAGGAGTAGGACTCCTCCTTTCCTAATCCTACTAGGAAGGGGAAGGAAGGGGGAGAGGGGGAAGGAAAGGGGGGGCGCCGCCCCCCCTCCTAGTCCAATTCGGACCAGAGGGGGGAGGGGGCGCGCGGCCCATGCTGGCCGCCCCTCTCTCCTTTCCCCTAAGGCCCATAAGGCCCAATACTCTCCCGGGGGGTTCCGGTAACCCCCCCCCCCCCGGCACTCCGGTTTTCTCCAAAATCACCCGGAACACTTCCGGTGTCCGAATATAGTCGTCCAATATATCAATCTTTATGTCTCGACCATTTCGAGACTCCTCGTCATGTCCGTGATCACATCCGGGACTCCAAACAAACTTCGGTACATCAAAACTTATAAACTCATAATAAAACCGTCATCGTAACGTTAAGCGTGTGGACCCTACGGGTTCGAGAACTATGTAGACATGACCTAGAACCATTCTCAGTCAATAACCAATAGCGGGACCTGGATGCCCATATTGGTTCCTACATATTCTACGAAGATCTTTATCGGTCAAACCGCATAACAACATACGTTGTTCCCTTTGTCATCGGTATGTTACTTGCCCGAGATTTGATCATCGGTATCCAATACCTAGTTCAATCTCATTACCGGCAAGTCTCTTTACTCGTTCTGTAACACATCATCTTATAACTAACTCATTAGTTACAATGCTTGCAAGGCTTAGGTGATGAGTATTACCGAGAGGGCCCAGAGATACCTCTCCGACAATCGGAGTGACAAAACCTAATCTCGAATTATGCCAACCCAACATGTACCTTCGGAAACACCTGTAGAGCACCTTTATAATCACCCAGTTACCTTGTGATGTTTGGTAGCACACAAAGTGTTCTTCCGGTAAACGGGAGTTGCACAATCTCATAGTTGCAGGAACTTTGTATAAGTCATGAAGAAAGCAATAGCAATATACTAAACGATCAAGTGCTAGGCTAACGGAATGGGTCATGTCAATCACATCATTATCCTAATGATGTGATCCCATTAATCAAATGACAACACATGTCTATGGTTAGGAAACATAACCATCTTTGATTAATGAGCTAGTCAAGTAGAGGCATACTAGTGACTTTATGTTTGTCTATGTATTCACACATGTATCATGTTTCCAGTTAATATAATTCTAGCATGAATAATAAACATTTATCATGATATGAGGAAATAAATAATAACTTTATTATTGCCTCTAGGGCATATTTCCTTTAGATACCGGGTTTTGTCACAATTATCGTCATAGAAGTGTTATATGTATGACAGAAATTTTTTTCGTTCGGCCCAAAATGTCACGGATGTGTCTTTTTTTGTAGTGAAGATTGGACTTTTACAGATCCTGTTTCTTCTGGCAAAGCGACGAGGCCAAGAAAAAATATAGACTGGCTAGATGGGATATTATATGTAGACCCAAAGACCAGGGCGGGTTAGGGATCGAGAATTTAGAAGTAAAGAATAGATGTTTGCTCGGCAAATGGTTATACAGATTATCGACGGAGACCGAAGGCATGTCGGTACAAATCTTGCGGAATAATTACCTGCATACTAAGACTTTGTCCCAGGTGAATGCATGCAAGACCATCAGACTCACCCTTTTGGAAAGGGTTAATGAAGACAAAATTAACTTTTTTCCAACGGGTGAAGTTCCTAATTGGTAATGGTACTTCTACTAGGTTCTGGGAGGACACTTGGCTAGGGGAGATGCTCTTGGCCTTATAATACTCCTCTCTATATAATATTGTGCAACGTAAGGAAGATTATGTCGCCACAATATTAAACTCAGACCAATTAATATCCAATTTAGGAGATCTCTTGTAGGGGAACGTTGGAATGCTTGGCTACACCTGTTACGCAGGTTGATGGATGTTCAACTTTCAGATCAGATGGATACAATTAGTTGGAAGTTAACCACGAATGGAGTATTCTCTGTCAAATCCATGTATTTAGACTTAATTAGTTCCGGGCCATTGTCTGGTCTTTGCACATATGAAAGATTAAAGTTCCACTCCACATCAAGATCTTTATGTGGTTTGTCCACAAAGAAGTCATCTTGACCAAAGATAATCTGATGAAAAGGAATTGGGTCGGTCAATCTAGATGTTGTTTTTGTGATCAAAACAAGACAATTAAACACCTCTTTCTCGAATGTCCATTTGCAAAATTGTTATGGCGATCCATTCATATAGCTTTTGACGTTAATCCTCCAATGAGTATTAACACGTTATTTGAGACGTGGCTTAATGAAGTAGACATACACACAGCTAAACATATTTGGATAGGGATATGTGCACTATTATGGGTTATATGTAACACTCGAAATGATATGATTTTTAATAGGACAAAATTCACTAATTTTTTGCAGGTTATCTACAAAGTTACAGCCTGGATGCGTATGTGGTTGTTACTCACTCATGCGGACTACAGAGAGCTTATGGTTATTGGGTGCAGTCGATGGGAGACGGTTGCACGGGCTATCTTCAGCCGATTTGGATGGCGAGCTAATAATAGGCTAGGTGTGTAGGCATCGTAGCCTGTTTTTTATAACCGGATGTGGCGCTTTTTTGCTAGTTGTGGCGTTTTACAGATTTGTTTATCTTTCTTACTTAGATTTTGAGCTTTCGTGAAACTTAAGACGTTATTTTGATTTTAACGATATGATTGTATGCATCGACTGATGCAGAGTCCGATTGTAAGCCTCCTTTAAAAAAAAAAGAGAAACAGGTGGTCATCACGCATACCACGCGATCTGTCGCCGTTTTACCCGATCTAGCTAAGCACGTTGCGTTACTGTCTGCGGTTCGGTGATCTGCTACTCTTCCATCCCCGTGGGTCGTCTGGGTCTAATGGCGCTTCAAGGGTAAGCATGGTTGCATATACGTCTGATTTCGGTTCTGAGATCAGTTCAAACGTGGTCGAGTAGAGCCGGAACATGTTCCACTCGCTGCACGTACCCTCCATTGCGCACGGTCTGGCGCATTATCAGAACACCTTTAGCTTCGGCTAATAGCGTCGATCGACGCACGACCCAAATCCAAAAAGACGTCGACGATGCACCACATACACACAACTTGAAACTTAAAAACCTTACTTCAATTCAAATTAGTTGTCGCTCAAATGAATATACTATAAGATCTAAGTACAAAACTGCTGGACGGACGACACTAGCTGGCCGAACCCCACACGAGATGCAGGAATGGACGGTGTTGTCTGCTTTTGCTCTAACTCATCAACGGCTTGATGTGTAGTGTCGTCCGCTGATCGTCCAAATCTGTCGTCTGTGTAGCAGCGCTCATCTAAGTATCATCTCAGTGACAAGTAATATGGATCTGAGGTGAGGGGATATTAAAGTAACGCTCACCCACTGACACACTCGGACAACAGTAGTAGTACGAATTCCTCTGAGCAGAATCGCTTTGCTCACAGTACCCTACCTCGTGCGCACTGTTTCGGTCTTCCGGTTTTTTTTTGAGGGTGTCTTCCGGTTTGGTTGATGGTCGTTGCAAGTGGTAGTGGTAGTATTATATTGGCAGGCATCTCATGGAACACCGCAAGCCTGGAGCAGATTTACAGACAGCACTACGTAGATCCCAAAACCTCCACATATTTTGGTCGCTCGGGCGGCTAGGAAAACGATTAATAATAACGATAAATGAAAAAGAAAACGGTTAACGAGCGTCGCCCACCGTGTGCACAGCACACCAGGACGCGTGCCCTGGCCACTCCTCTCCGCCGCATGTCCGCACCTTCTAGCGAGACGTTGCGGACTTTTTGAATTCATTCACGATCGGCTTTGAAGACTACTGTAGCAGTACGTGCTCGGATCTGCTAAATGTTCCCATCATCTACGCTGCACGAGAGCGGATCGCCCCGGATTTCCCGAATGGCACGGTTGTCCTCTGCGATCATAATGTAACTATAAGTAAAAAGGAGAGATAAATGGTGCGTGCACGTCCATCCGGCATTACGGTCTACGGGTCGGTGATCTACTCTTCGACCTGGGTGGCTGGGTACTTGGGTCGTCCGTGATAACGTGGCAAGTCGAGGTAAAAAGCAAGTCTGTTCGAGACCAAACTTGAGCTAGCATGCAGCTGGAACACGATCGATTTTGGCACGTTAACTCCATTTTGGCACGGTTCGGTGCGTTCCCGGAACACCTTTAACCTTCTTTCTTTTAGCCGAGAACACCTTTAACATTGGCTAATGGCATTCAAAGACGCCTTGCATCCATGATCCATCCAACAGAAAGCCACGTTTACACACGCACCCCGCTGCTACGAGTTTCTAGACAAAATTGAAATGCAGATGCAGCAGTACACGTGTAACCACCACACGCCTCGTCTCTCAGACGTCCACAGTACAGTACCATACCTCGATCGTGCGCAGTGTTTCTATAAACCCCCGTCTCCGCGCCAGCCTCGTCGTTACGAACGTTCCGCACGAGCAATTATAAAGAGAGCGCGGGCCTTCTTCCCATGTCGACCGTAGCACTGCTCGTACCACCACCAACTCTCGCGAGGCCCCCGGCTCTGCGCTCCCGTCACATCGGCTTTCTCTCAAGGTAATCATAGTCGTCGAATTCTTTTGCGAGTGCGCCTTGTGCTGCTGAGCCAGCAGTGTTGGATTCCCTCTCTCTCTCTCTCAGCAGCACTGCTCTGAAGCTCTCTTCTTCTGGGCCGGGGTTCACTCACGGACTCACAGTAACCCACAGTTCACAGATTCATTCGCTTGTTCGATCTGCAGATCCTGCAAGCTCGGCTCGTCGCGAGTAACCGCCATGTCGTCGTCGTCGTCCGATCCGTCGCTGGCGACCGAGGCGCCCCAGGCGGCCGTCACCAGCGAGCGCAAGCTCAACCGCGACCTGCAGGAGCAGCTCGCCAAGCCATGTACGTATCTATCCCTTCTTCACCTTGGGCAGCCGCTGTTCCGAATCCGAGATCCAATATTTCTCTCCCGTTCTTTCTTGCCGGCTTGGCTAGCGACTGAGCGAGGGGACCGTCAGAGCGGCTGGCCGTTGCCCGTTAGCGGGCGGCTTCGCGCGACGGCGCTTCCCGCTTCTCCGGTCGCTGCGTGGGATTTTCATTAGATACGGAGGAAGGGATAAATTTCCTGCAGGTGTTAACAACATAGACTGTCTTTCCGGGAAAAAAAAGAGCATAGACTGTCGTCCTCCATGATCGTCGCCTCTGCACTCTGATACTGTCACTCTATTGGCTGCCATGAAAGCTTAGACTAGTCAAGCAAGCCGTACCGTCGTCGCCTCTCTGATCCAAGAACCGTATTATATTCTAACATTCTAGCAATAAACTCGGCCGCGTCGACCGTGTTTGATGAGGGAATATCGTCTCTGTTAGCGACCCGAATGCATTGAATACTTTCCGTTCTCTGATGAAGCGTTTCGTCGCCAGGACCATGTTGTATTAATTTTGTGTACTCTCAGTCCCATCTTCAATGGTTTAGCCAGCAGAAACAAGTGCTATCTACGTTTGCTTTATATAATAAATTCTTGCTGCTGTCTCTGAGCTGAACTCCTATTTGTACATATACATATGCAGATCTGGCCAGAGCAATGGCGGCGGTTGACCCGAGCCACCCGGAGGGCAGCAAGGGGAGGGACACCAAGGGCATGAGCGTGCTCCAGCAGCACGCCGCCTTCTTCGACCGCAACGGCGACGGGGTCATCTACCCATGGGAGACCTTCCAGAGTACGTATACGTAGCTCTGACGAGAGCGCGCATCTCGCTATCATTGCCAATTTTGTATCAGTCTCGTGGCTCTCGTTTTGGACAGGCCGTCAGAATCACACTTTGTTTAATCCCGATCCACCAAACGAGATTAGATTCGCCATTCCCAAAAGAGATTTGATTTGCCTTTAAAGTGGACATATTTTCTTCTCCAATCAAGGTTACTTCTGCAGCTGCAATAAGACCTTCTTTTGTGTGCTATTTCAGGCCTGCGAGCAATCGGGCTTGGGTCGCCTTCAGCCTTCGGAACATCCATACTCCTCCACCTCGTCCTCACTTATCCTACTCAACCGGTAAAAAAGTCGTGTTATCATTTGTACTAGTTTTTTTGACCTGAATATCACGTCACTCTCTTTTGCAAGTGACAAGAATATCTCACTTTCTCTAAGGCCAACTCCACCGCGTGACCCATTTCTACCCCAAATCGTCTGTTTGTGTCCGTTTGGGATAAAACCGACAAACCGAACGACCCAACACATAGGAGCATACGGACGTTTCGTCCGGTCTGTGTCCGCTTTTGCCTCATTTCCAGACCAAAGTTGCTCTCGGTTTGGGTTTGGGGTCAAAGCGGACAGAAAGCGGACGTCTTCACGTCCTCCTCGTCCGTGTCCGCCCTCGCCCCCACCTGTCACTCTCTTCTTTTCTGTACCTGGCCCACCACGTGCACCCACCACGGACAAAATCCGGACAAAATATGGTGGGTGCAGCAAGTTTGTCCGACCTCTGTCCGGCGTTTGTTTTCCTTATTTCTACCCCATACAGACAAAATTCGAACAAAATGGGGTAAAATTTAGGGTCGTGCGGTGGAGTTGGCCTAAAGATACACACGAATTTATCCTCTGTTTCTTTGGACGCAGGGATGGATGCCTTCCCCTCTGCTGTCGATCCATATAAAGAACATCCACAGGGGCAAGCACGGGAGCGATTCTGAGACGTATGACACAGAAGGGAGGTATGTTTGCAAAACGCACCTATGCATGTCCCTCTGTAGGAAGATCACTTCCGGAAATGAATTTTGTAACTAGTTTTTCTTCCTCTGTGTGTAGGTTTGAACCAGCGAAATTCGATGCTATATTCAGCAAGTTTGGCAAAACTCGGCCAAATGCTTTGTCAGAAGATGAGATTAACGCCATGCTTAAATACAACCGCAATATGTATGATTTCCTGGGCTGGTAAGTGCGGCGACGAAGTGGCATTGGCAAGTTGTTCTTCATTTATTTTCGTATATATCCAAACTTTTCTAAAAAGACAGGCATGCCTAGTCAGTGGCTCAGTACACAAACACAGGACCAGATTTTTCATTCCTGCAAGTTCTGTTCATTTCAAGCCTAGCTGTCCTTCAGAAAATAATTTCTGAATACTTTATCTTCTTCACGCAGGGCCGCGGCCAACCTCGAATGGAAGTTGCTGCACAAGGTGGCAAAGGATAACGAAGGCTTTTTGCAGCGAGAAATCGTGCGGGGCGCCTTCGATGGCAGCCTGTTCGAGCGTCTGCAGGAAAGCAAGAAATCTACCTGAATGTGGCAGTGAGCCTCGTCTCTAAAATATCTGCACTTGAAATTTGAAAAGCCTCCCTGCATTGTAGTTTGAGTTGTGTACGTCAAATAAGAAGTGTTTGGCCCGTCTGCGGCGGCCTAAACATTTTCATTTGCATTGTTATTTTGAACTGGAATTTGTATTTTTATTGGTAGCGCACAGAAGGTGTACAGTGGAACTTGTAATGTGCACTCGTGAATCATCATTACCTCGCATAATATAGGCGTGTCTCTTTCTATTGTCGTGTGAAGACATTTTTTTCTGAGGAATCGTGCGAAGACTTTCTTAAACTGGGGCCATCACTATTGTAAGAAACTTAATCATTTCCGGTTCAAGTTTGAGAGATGTGATTTCTTGGGTTGTACTCAAATTTGATACACTAAAATATCCTAGGAACAAGAATATCATGTGGGGAATAAGAATATCTTTTCTTTTGAGCTCTCGTGGTTTGATAGAGAAGGGTTCTTTGAGATGGTTGCTAGAGAATGGGCGAAAGATTCAGGAGGAAGGTCTCCTATCGAGAGATGGTAGAATAAGATTAGACATCTGCGAAGTTTTCTGCGTGGATGGGCTAAACATACGCATGGTATTTATAAGGCTGAGAAGGAAAGACTCCTTTTACTTATTCAGTCCCTAGACTTAAAAGCCGAATCCACTATTTTAGATACCAGAGAGCCGGAAGCTAAGGTAGAGGCGGAATTAAGGCTGAAAGATATCCTTCGGGAGGAGGAATTGAAGTGGAGGAGGAATTGAAGTGGGCATTGCGAGCTAAGGTTCGCAAGATCGTCCAAGGGGATGACAACACTTAGTTATTTTATATGATTGCCAATGGCAAGCACCGCAAGACGAGGATATTTCAGCTCGAGCAGGAAGAGGGGACGATTGTAGGTCAAGAGAATCTGAAAGTCTATATTACGAATTACTATAAGCAGCTGTTTGGGCCGCCGGAAGATAACTATGTGTCCTTAGATGAGACCAGAGTTGAGGATGTACCTCAACTTGCGTCGGACGAGAATGGAGTCTTGACTGCCCCTTTTACGAAGAAAGAGGTGTTTGAGGCTATTTCACAAATGAAGAACAATAAGGCTCCCGGGCCGGATGGCTTCTCGGCGGAGTTTTATAAAAAATGTTGGCATATCATCAAAGGGGACTTACTCCCGATGTTTCATGATCTTTTCTCTGGACAGCTTCAGTTGTTTCAACTTAATTTTGGAACGATTACTTTAATCCCCAAGAAGACAGAGGTTGTTCGTATTGAGCAGTTCAGGCCCATCTGTCCTCTTAATGTAAGTTTCAAAATTTTCACCAAGGTCGGAACTAATATACTTACGCAGATTGCGCATTCTGTTGTGCAGCCGTCCCAAACTGCTTTCATGCCAGACAGAAACATCCTGGAAGGGGTTATCGTTCTGCATAAAACACTCCATGAAATCCACTCAAAAAAACTAGATGGAGTAGTTTTCAAAGTGGACTTTGAGAAGGCATACGACAAGGTCAAATGGCCATTCCTTCAGCAGGCTTTGCGCATGAAAGGTTTTGATCAGGCCTGGAGACACCAGGTAGACTCCTTCACCCAAAAAGGGAGTGTTGAAATTAAAGTGAATGATGACATAGGTCACTATTTCCAAACACACAAAGGACTGAGGCAAGGGGATCCGATGTCTCCTATTCTCTTCAGCATAGTGGCTGATATGTTGGCAATTCTTATAGGAAGGGCCAAGGATGCAGGTCAGGTAGGAGGCCTCGTCCCGCACTTAGTAGACGGAGGTGTATCCATTCTACAGTATGCCGATGATACTATCATTTTCATGAAGCATGACTTGGCAAAAGCTCGCAACATGAAGCTCGTGCTATGCTTGTTCGAACAATTGTCCGGGTTAAAGATTAACTTTCACAAGAGCGAGTTGTTCTGTTTTGGAAGAGCTAATGATGAACAAGATGCGTACACGCAATTGTTCGGGTGTGAATTGGGGGCTTTACCTTTTATGTATTTAGGTATACCAATTCACCATCGTAAGCTCACCAACAAAGAATGGAAGTGCATTGAGGATCGTTTTGAGAAGAAATTGAGCTGCTGGAAAGGTAAGCTGATGTCATACGGAGGACGATTAATTCTTATTAATCCAGTCCTCACGAGCATGCCCATGTTTCTTCTCTCGTTCTTCGAGGTTCTGGTGGGAGTCTGGAAGGGGCTTGATTTCTATCGATCACAATTCTTTTGGCAGAGTGATGGAGTTAAGCGAAAATACAGACTTGCTAAATGGGACATCATCTGTAGGCCGAAAGACCAAGGGGGCCTTGGTATTGAGAATCTGGAAATGAAGAACAGATGTCTCCTTAGCAAATGGTTGTTTAAGCTTTCTGTCGAGACGGAGGCTACTTGGGCTCAGATCTTGCGGAACAAGTACCTTCACTCCAGAACCTTGTCCCAGGTGACAGTGAGACCGACTGATTCGCCTTTTTGGAAAGGATTGATGAGAGTTAAATCACACTTTTTCAATAGAACAAGATTCTTAGTTGGAAACGGTACTTCTACGAGGTTTTGGGAGGATACATGGCTAGGGGAGACGCCCCTTGCACTCCAATATCCTTCCTTGTATAACATTGTTCAGCGTAGAGATGCTAACATTGCAACAGTGATACAGTCCATTCCGCTTAATATCCAGTTTAGGAGGACGCTAGTGGGAACCCGTTGGGAAGCTTGGTCCATCTTGTTCGAAGATTAATGGATGTTCAGCTGTCTCAACTGCCCGATCAATTGTGTTGGAAATTATCCAAGAATGGCGAATTTTCGGTTAAATCCATGTATTTGGATGTTATCAACTCTAGCGTGATTCCTTGATCGAAACATGTTTGGAAAGTCAAAGTTCCTTTAAGAATCAAAGTGTTTATGTGGTTTGTGCATAAACAAGTTATTTTAACGAAGGATAATTTAGCAAAACGCAATTGGACAGGATCTACCAGATGTAGTTTCTGCGACCAACACGAATCCATCAAACATCTCTTTCTGGATTGTCCCTTAGCAAAAAATTTGTGGCGGTCGGTCCACATAGCTTTTAACATTACACCACCGAATTCCATCAATACGTTATTTTGGACGTGGCTTGATGGGATAAATTTTGATACAGCGAGACACATTCGTGTGGCAGTGTGTGCTTTATTATGGGCAATCTGGAATTGCAGAAATGATTTGGTTTTTAACAGAACAACAAATATTCATTTTTTGCAGGTTATATTGAGAGCCACTGCGTTGATCCGTATGTGGTCGCTACTCACTTCGACGGAGGCCAGGGAGCATTTGGTTACTGCGTCTACCCGATGGGAGATGGTAGCACGGGGTATTTTCAACCGGTTTGGATGGCGGTCATGTAATAGGATAGGCATGTAGTGCTCTTATCTTTCTATGCCTGCCGGTTGTGGCTTTTCCTTTTTCTCTGTTCAGCTCTAGTGGAGCCTTTTACCTTTTTGTTCGAGACTTGGAGTCCTTTGTTGGATATTTTGCTCATTAATAATATGAGCCATATGCATCATTCAGATGCATAGGTTGGGGTATCCCCTTTTCGAAAAAAAGAAAAAAAACTCCTAGGAACAACCATAGTGATTATTATTTTAATGCAAGTAAGGCCCTATGTTTATGATTATATTAAAGGCATCCAATGGTATATAACATCCGAGAAAGCAAGAAAATTACAACCATATCTTCAGAGTTCAAAGAGCCAAACAAACTCAACCTCTAGCATGAGTCGAAGGTGCGCCACCGTTCCACTCCAGTTTTGAAGTCAGCATGTTGACGGGAAGTTCTCGTGCTAAGGTCTGGATGGACCAATGGCCTCTAGAAGAAGCCATCATAGAAGCCTTGTGTAGATCCAAATCCAAAACTAAGCCATCTTTGGTACAAAACATCCGCCAAGTTTGCAATGACGAGAAGATAACGTTGTTGCGACAAAGAGGAAGATTGAACCACCAAGGAGTGGTCTATCGAGTCAGGGAGTCACCCAAGGGGAGAGAAAGAATTGACAACCTCGTCGACGCCGCAAAACAATCAGGGGAACATTGTCCCGATCCCCAAGGGCTAAGCGTCGATGGTTGGCCCCAGCACCACCACCACAAACAACATGAAGAACAGGACCATTACTCAAAACCTATATGAAGACACATGAATTGCCCACGATGTCTGGATGACCTAAGACGATGCATGCACCTTCTTCTAAACCCAACAATGATGACATTCCAGAACCATCAAATTGATGGGAGATCTGGAGGAAACTTATTATATGTTGGTGCAAAAAGCCGGCAATCCCTACATAGCTAGGGTTACTCATGGGGCGGAGCACGCATAAAGGATCAGAATAGGGTAATACCCTATATCATGCATGCCTGATTATATTGATGTGTTGGTCTTGTTGAGAGATTATATCTATTGGACGCCTCCTTGGGAGGGCCTACCTCCCCTTATATACATAAATGATGGGTAGGGTTACATGGCTTGTAGTACAACTAAGAGGTCTCCTCAGGAGGAGGCCCACTATCATGCGAGAGTCCTAGGCCGTGGTGGGGCCTATGGCAGGCCCACTGCAGGTCTTCCCGCTAGGCAAATCACCCCCGGTAAAGTACACCATCATTACCGCTAAGACCGAAGCCATGGACAATCAAAGACCTAGCTAAGACACCTAGACTATAGAACACACACATAACAGGGTCCTAGAATTCCTCTCTCTCCCATCGCCACTGTAGCAGCCAACAGAGCTAAGGGAACCCCATCGACTCCAGAGTTCATGCACCACTCCCTTTTCTCACTGGGTCGCCTTAAGCGGCTAGGGTTTCACGGGGTTGGGCAACTGTAGAGGGCTACACCAAACCAGGGTAATTCTACTATCTAACTTAAAAGAAATACACATGCATATACACTCAAACAAGCCATAATACCTCAAGACCAGCCTTTGCATTTGATGCATACTCGTGTAAGGCAGCTACAACCAGAG